ATAACTAATTTTAATAATATTAATATTAATAAAAATATTTATAAAATATACATAGCCTATAAGATTTATATAGTTTATAAAGCTATTAAGTTTAATAAGGTTTATAGGGTTTATTATAAAGTTTATAAGATTAATAAGATTAATAAAATTAATAAAGTTTATAGGTTTATTATTAAAGTTAATAAGGGTTATAGATTTATTAAGGATAATAGGGCTATTAAAGCTAATAAAGGTTATAAATTTATAATTATTAAAAAGTTTATATAAATAATAAAAGAGGCTGCGGATAATTAAATACTAAAGTATATAAAGTATTAAATAGTATTCTCTTATTACGGAAATTAATAACTTCTTAAGAAATTATATAAATACTAAGGTAGTTATAATAGGGTTATATAAAATAACTTCTATAATAAATATACTTTTACTACTTTAAAAACTAAAAAATACTAACTTCCTAGGAAGTTAAATATCTATAACTCTTTAATCCTTTTTATAAAAAGTATAACTTAATTTTTAAAAATAACTAAACTAGCTTACGCTACTTATAAAAACTCTATATTAAATTTAAATCTATAGCGCTTTTATTTACTTATTAATTAACTTAAATATAAGATAGATTAGATTATAGTATTTATCTTTATATATATACTTAAAATATTATAAACAGCTATACTTATTATTATAAAAAACCTATTAATCCTAGCTAAATACCTAAAACTCCTTATTAATATAAAAAAATAAAAATCCCTTAGCTATCTAATCTTAATTGCTAATATAATTAAACTTATAATTAAATTTTTTTATTAATTAATTATAAAAAAACTATACCTTTTTTCCTAAGTAAGTACTAACTAAACCCCCCTTCTTTAATTATACTATAAATTTTTACTTTTTCTTTTTAATATTTAATTACTTATAATCCTTTTCCTTATTATTAATAAATACTACTTTTAAAATTTCCCTACTATTATAAATATCTCTTATATATACTACTTAGAAATCCTAACCACTAATTAAATATTCCTTTATTTAAGAGAAAAAAAGGTATTTTAAATATTAAAATAAATAAAAAAAATCCTTAGAATACTTTTTATTAAAATATTATATAAAGCCTTTTATTATAAAAAAACCCCTATATAATAAATAATATACTTTTTTTATATTATTTAGCTAAATATATAATATATATATTTTACTATATATTTACTTAATATAATTACTTTAAGTATAGGGGTTTACCTTAATCTAGTACTTAACTAATCTAAAATATTTATATTTAAAGTAGAAAAAAGGGTTTTTAAATTTATAAAATATATTAATATATTTTATAAATAAAGCCTTATTAAAAAATTAACTATAATAACCTAAGAAACACTATAGGTTCTTAAGAAGTTTAAGCTTAAAAAGCTTAAAATCCTTAGTTATAAAACTAGCGCTTTTATTACCCTTTAGTATTTTACCTCTTAAATACTTTATAAGCTTATCTAAAAGTATTATAAAAAATATTTAATTTATAATTAATAAAAAAAACTTCTTAATAATAATATTACTAGCTTTAAAAAGTACTTACTATAAGTTAATTATTAAAGAATTATATAAGTATATTATTAATTTCCCTTATACTTATAATTTATTAACTTTTATAAAATAGACTTAGTAATTATTATATAATATAAATTTCTCTAGGTAGTTATAAATTTATTAAATTTATACCTAAATCTTCCCTTCCTTTTTACTTTTTAAGCTATATTTTTCTTAAGTAAAAATTAACTCCTACCTTAAAGTCTTAATATTATTTTATTTTTTAAACTTATTACTCTCTTCTTAAGTAAAATAAAAAAGGGTATAAAGATTTTATTATAAAAAGGTATTAAATATAATAAACTATAGGTTATTATCTTATTTACTAAACTTACTAAATATAATTTCTAATAGCCTATTTTATATTTAAACTAGCTAATAAAATCTTTAAAAAATATTTATTAAATTAAAAAATATATAATTTTATATAGCTAAGGTTAAGCTTTTTATAAAAGATAAATAAAATAGTATTAGTTAAACAAGGGATAATAAAAATCACTATTAATATAAACCTACTATTAAGCTATCCTCCTGCGCTAACTCTTAATATATAAGGCTACTTTATCTTATAAAACCCTATAATAAAATATATATAATACTAAATATCTAAAAACTATTTATATAATATTAAAATAATCTATTTTTTCTTTTTTATTACCTTATTACTTTAGTTAAGTTATATATAATTTATACCTTTTTTAAGCAGCCTAGGCTAAAGTACTTAGTTATATAAATAATAACTAATTTTAAAAATATTATTAATAATAGCCCTTATTATAAATAATATAATAAAGTAAAATAATTTATATAATATAAATATTATAAAAAATTATAACCTTTATTATTATTATAATATTAATTAAACTAAGGTTTAAGTAAAAAAGGTATATTTTAAATAATTATACTTAAAGCATTAATTTCTTTAAATATAATTTATTTTTTACTTAATATAGTAAATAGTAGTAAATACTATTAGCTAAGTTTTTAATAAATCTTTTAAGTTTTTAATTTATATAAACTTAATATTCTTATATTAAATATTTACTAAACTACTTAGTTTTTAATTACTAATACTACTTAAAAAAATAATATAGTAAAATATAAGTTATATACTAGGCCTATATAATATATACTTTACTTTTATTTAGATTATATTAAAATAAAAAATAATATTCTTTACTATTATCTTAGACTTTTTAAAACTTTACTTAAGAAAAAGGCTAAGTTTAATAGTTAAATAAGGTATTTATTATATATATTTTTATTTATTAATAAATTAATACTAAGCTAAGGAGGGGAAAGGATAAAAATAACTAACTTAAGCTATTTTATAGGCTAGGCTATAATTATAATTAATATTATAAAATAAAAAAAAAAATATTAAAATAATACTCTTTTTAAATCTTATATTTTTTTTACTTTTAATACCTAGCTATTAGCTTTATTAATAAAAAAAGTCTATATATTTTTAATTAAGTAAGCGCTTTAAATTATCTATACTTTTTTATACTCCTTTAAACTTAAATATAATTATTTTATAATTAATTTTTTAATATATATCCTTAAAAATATTTAAAATATTAACTTTATATTCTATTTAATATAAAGGTTAATTTAAAAACCCTTAAGATTTAAGCTTATATTTTTAATAAAGCTAGATTATTATTAAAAGTTAAAAATAATAGTTAAAAGCTAAAAAATAAAGCTATATTATTATTAATTTTACTATATTCTATTATATTACTATTAAGTTTTTAAGGCTATATATAAATCTTAATTAAGTAAGTTTACTTAATATTACTAAAAAGTAACTAAAGTAATTTCTTTATTAAAAGCTTATTAATAAAGCTATTTAAAAAAGTAAAATTTTTAAAAAAAACTTAGTATATTATTAAAAATAATTAAAGTTATTAAAATAGTTATAATAATATTTTAAATAGTAATTATATAAATTAATAACTTTAGTAAAAGTAAAAAAACTTAATAAAAAAATATTAAAAAAAAAAAAATAAAAAATATAAAAAAGGCTTATATATTTAAAATAGTTATAAAAAAGTATATAAAATTATAATAGTAAACTAATACTTATTTACTTTATTATTTATTAAAAATAAAAATTATAAAAAGTATATAAATTATTATTCTAAAATTAAGCTAAAAAGTATATACTTTTTACTAAACTAAAATAAAAAAATAAGAAAATATAATAAAGGAAAAGGAAGCGTAATATTAGCTTATTTTTACTTACTTTTTAGTAATTAAAGTAAAAAAGGTAAAAAAGGGTAAATAGTTTATTTACTACTTTTTAATATTAAAGTCTAAGTAAAATAGTAATAAAGTAAAAAGTACTTTATTTATTCTATAAAAAATAATATATAGCCCTAGTAAGCAGTAGAAATACTAAATTAGTAAAAGCTTAGGTATATTTTATAATAAAGGTAAATTCCTTATTTACTTTCCCATAAATAAGCCACTAACTAGTAAATTAGTAGTTAAGTAGGTAACCATTAGCGAACACTGGCTGTTATATATTAAATTCTTTTTTTTTTTTTTTGCGTTTTTGCTGTTTTTTTTTTATTCTTTTAAAGTTATGATTTCGGCGCGGAACAAACCTTGTCTCTTCGGTGTGTGTTTCATGCAGGTTGCGTGGGGTTAATGCAGGCTTAGTCATCTGAGCTCATCGCCAGTTAAAATCGTCCTTTGTTTTACTATGAGGCTTCCTCAACACCTCTTCACTGGATTCATTCACATTCACTAGATTCAAAGTAACAACATGAATGGAATTTGTTTCTTAAATTCAAGCTCCCCTTTTCTCAAAGCCGCTGCCTCCTACCCTACCAAAAGTCCTAAAACGCGCTTCCATCATTCTCGTTTGCATAATAAAACCTCCCAGCTATTCTCGCTCGAAAAAAAAAGACACCATACATGCTGCACACCTCACTTGGTAGTGCGAGGGAACAAAAAAAAAAGGACGTTGAGCCGTTCTCCTCCCCCCTTTTGCCATCAAGGGCAGTCATCTCAAAGAAAGGAAACCATGTGTAGACTCAAAACGACAAAGTAAAAACAAAACGCCTAATCCAAGCCAAGCTGAGCTCTGATATGAAAGAGTCATCCCCCCCAAGCCCTTTCAAATATTGCGTGGTATTTCATTCCTGTTCATCCATTGTATTGTGTTGTAAAGTGCTTTGCCAGCTAAATGCAATTTGGGCTCGAAATGTGTTTTTTTTGGTACATGTCTGCGCTGGGAAAAGTACACAGCGCGGCCGGTATTAAATGTAGTCGTTGAAAGGAAAAGAAAGAAAGAGAAAATGCCTCCCTTGCTCCGTTGTTGCGACCTGAAAAGCCATTCCAGATGGCCGTCGAATGCAAGTTTGTAGTGGGTGTTGTCATGACAACTTCTTCTCTCTCTGCCACGCTTAAAGCTCTCGGTAATCGCTTGGCCGGACTCTGCGCTGTTTGTTCTGGTGTCGATGCGGGTTGACGGGCTTTCGGAAGTAGGCATCGTCTTCTCCAGCTCCCTGTGTGAAGTTGCCGCCGTTCTGGAAGCCACTCATCATGCCTCCGCCGTTCATGTTGTTCATGCCGCCGCCCATTCCACCCATGGCGTTCATCCCATTCATACCACCGGCATTATTCATGCCCCAGTTGTTGTTGTTGTTGTTGTTGTTCATGCCGCCGCCGCCGCCGCCATTCATGTTCATATTGTTCATGCCGTTCATGTTGTTGTTCATGCCGTATCCTCCATTCATATTTCCGTAGCCCCCATTCATGTTGTTGAAGCCTTGCACGGCCATCATAGGCATGTTCATCATAGGCATAGGCATAGGCATAGGAGGCATGCCCATGTTCATACCCATATTCATGCCCATATTCATTCCCATGCCGCCCATGCCCATCATGTTTGGCATCATGCCCATGCCTCCATTAAACATCATGTTGTTCATACCCATGTTGGGCATGCCGTTCATCATGTTGCCGTTCATCATGTTCTGGGATTGCTGGTTCTGCATGGCGCGGGGTCCTTTGGGTATCTTGGGATTCTCTAGGAAGTCTTCTGCGGGCCTCTTCTTCGAGACGACGTCCTCTGCTTTGACTACTTCGGCAGCCTGAGAGCTGGGAACGAGACTCTTTGACTCGGCCGAAGGAGACTTGGATGCCGAATCGACTGATTCTGTAGCTGGTGAGTTGGGCTTCTGCTCCGAAGTCTCGATGCTCTTCCGCCTCGTCTTGTCCTCCACAGCGTCTGTTGCTCCATCCTCCTTATTTGCTGCGTCTTTAGTTTGATCACTCTCCGAGCTGCCTGGCACTTCTTCCGAATTGCCCTTGGGTGACGATGGGGGAGTGACCTTGGCAGCTTCCTTCTCCTTGAGGTACTCTTGAATCTTCTTTGACACTTCTTCATCAGGCTGGAGATCATCTATTAGCACACCTTCGGTCTGACAAGCAGGGCAGACGAAGTCGCTTTCGATGAGTGCATTGGTTATGCAGTCATTGCAAAACGTCTTCTGACAGCACGGGGTTTTCATTGGCTCTATGAACATCTTCTTGTCAATTGAACATTCGAGACCACGCTCTTGCATTTCCTTGTCTTCCGCCTGCGCCGTCTTGGCCGCGGCAGAAGAGGACTTGGCCTTGGCTTGGAATTGCTCCCAAGAGGCCTTGTCTGGCTCGGCAATGACAAAGTCTCCCTCGGCGTTGACCATGATTCCTGAGGGCCGTTTGGTTTCATCACCTTCCGACTGAGCTAATATGACAGACTTATCCACCTTTTGTAGAAATGAACGAGGGATGCCAGTGGTGCGCTTGACGCGAGGACGATTGTCAAAGTCGGGGTCATCGTTGGTTGGGCACAACTGGATCCAATGGCCCTTGTTTCCACATCGATAGCAAATGTACCCATTGGGGGGGTCATGGTCAGGAACATTTGCCGGCCGCTTGGAGCCTGGTTTACCGAAAGGCACTGGCGCTTGACTGTTTGAATGGTTAGCAACTTGGTCACATCGGTCAAAAGAAAAGCATGGCAACTTACTGAGACAACTCTTCTTGCTGGGCTGACCACTGCTCTGTTTGAGCAGCAAACATGGCGGCCATTCGATCTTCCTCTGTCATGGCATCGTTCATCTGGCTGAAAGCATTTGTATTTGGCTTGGAGGCCGATACTTTTGCCAACTGTTCCTTACGGCCGGCGTTCTTGGCCGCTACGGGCATTTTGCCCGAGACATATCGAGCGGCTCGCCCAGCTCCAGGCTTGACGGCGGGCTGTCGCCGAGCAATCACTGTCGTCGATCTGGGAACAATTGTTGTATCATCATCGTACTCTGTGGAATTCCGAGTTAGCATCTAACCGAGAGATGGGTGCTGCTTTTGTTTGTAGACTCACCTTCACTGTTGTCATCTGTATAGATATAGAGGTCGAAATCCGTGCCATCACCCAATCCGCTCTTGGTGATAATCTCACGTTTGAGTTCAAAGACTGAGATACCTGTGCCGTCAAACTCCACTCTAGTGGGCTCCTTCTGCGACTTGAACTTGAAGAACACCGAGGAAGACATTGTTGCTGAAGATGTTGATTTTCTTTCTTGGGGTTACGGTAACAAAATGCAAAATGCAAAAGTAAAATAAGAGATGTCAAAGGACGTTAGGCTCGTCAAAAAGTAAGACCGAAGGGGCTATATATCTGTAAAGTAAATACGTCGGAAGACCTCAGCCATAAAACAATGACTAAGTGAGTATTGATTTTTTTTCTTGCTGCTAGCGAACTTTTTTCTTGTTTTGATTCTTCTCTTCTTGGTTCTGCACCTCGGTGCTGTTTCAACTCAAGATGAACTCAAAATAATCAATTTCTGATGGTAAATTGGAAGAAAAAGACAAAGACAATAGGGCAAATGGGTATGTTGAGTAATGGAGTACAAGCGGCAATAAGCCAGAAGGAAAGACAACCCTAGAGTTCCCCCTCACTTCCTGATCACCATAACAGACCAGCCTATGCACCAGCAAATAAACAACCAACTGTTAGCCGTCTCTGGACCCTCCGTCAGACAGGCTAGCAAACTCCAAGGAAAGCAAAAAATGAGGACGAGGCGAATAAACGAGGATTTGTTCGCCGGGAGAAAAAGGAGGTGGTAGATGTCAGCGTCGTCTCGGTCGAGAGGCCGCCAAATGCTTGGGCTACGTGGACGGTTCTACCGGATCGAAACACGCAAACAGAGACTGCGAGAGCTTTGAACCCGTCGAAGCCACCGCTCAGCGCGACGAAAATCGATAGACGGCGAGCGAACAATCGCCTGGGGCGCAAATCGTCGATGGATCGGAGATGGTTTCGATGGGAGGACGATGGATCGTGATGCAAACAGGGAGAAGGAGAGGTGAGGAGAAAAAAAGAGAAGCGGAGGCATGGGGACCGTTAGTCCATTATTAATGGGAGAGCGCGTATTGATACCTAGCGAGTGCAGGCCACTTTTTCGTAACGAACCGGCAGCGTTTGCCTTTGCCGGCGAAACTTTCCCCCAGCGCCGGGGTGCTCACGTGCCGAAACTCCGTCTTGAAGAAGGCTTAGTAATGGGCGACGAGAAACGACGGGGGTAACCTGGACGGTACTTGGACCACTAAGCCTTGCGCGTGTCTGCCCACATAATGTGGGTGGTTGAGTGACGATGAGACCTCGCAGCAGCTTCGTCGTGTAGGTACCCCCACGGTATCTGCACCCATTTTCCTCAGCAGCTGCCGTTGGTAACCGGCTCGCCAAAAAAAGTTCCCCTCCAATCTGCCCCGCCGCGTGAAGCTTGTGCAGCCAGCAGAAGTGCGTGTATCTTCGTACTGCAAGAGGTAGGGCGACATGCCCCGCACCATCTTTCTTCATGACTTCGCTCCGCTGCCCTCGACAAATCTGGACGAGGATCAAGCCTTTCTCTTCCCAATTCACACAGAGTCCTCGAGTAGCGACTCCTTCGTTTCGACCGTATCTCACCGACTCGATCCGTGCACACCAAGCTAGAAAGATGGCGCCCCAACTCGACAGCTTCTTTAACCAGGTTGACAGCAGCGCAGATGCCTTCATCGAGCGTCTGCGCAAGGCTGTCGCCATCCCCTCCATCTCGGCCGAGGACGCTCGCCGCCCTGACGTCGTCCGCATGGGTCACTTCCTGGCTGATGAGCTGAAGTCCCTGGGTGCTGAGGTTGAGCTTCGCCCGCTTGGCAAGCAGCCTCACAAGGAGCATCTCGACCTGCCTCCCGTTGTCCTCGGACGATATGGAAACGACAAGAACAAGCGGACTATCCTGGTCTACGGCCACTACGATGTCCAGCCTGCGGAGAAGAGCGACGGTTGGGCGACCGAGCCTTTTGAGCTCACGGTCGATGACAAGGGCCGCATGTTCGGCCGTGGCTCAACCGACGACAAGGGACCTGTCCTGGGCTGGCTCAACGCTATCGAGGCCCACCAGAAGGCTGGCGTGGATTTCCCCGTCAACCTGTTGATGTGCTTTGAGGGTATGGAGGAGTATGGATCTGAGGGTCTCGACGATTTGATCAAGGAAGAGGCCAAGAAGTTCTTCGCCGATGCCGATGCCGTCTGCATTTCGGACAACTACTGGCTCGGAACTGAGAAGCCCTGCTTGACCTATGGTCTCCGAGGCTGCAACTACTACTCTATCGAGGTCTCTGGCCCCGGCGCCGATTTGCACAGCGGCGTTTTTGGCGGACAGGCCCACGAACCCATGACCGATCTAGTTCGCGTCATGGGCTCCCTTGTTGACTCCAAGGGCAACATCCTGATCCCTGGCATCTCGGATCAGGTTGCTCCTGTGACTGCTGATGAGGAGAAGCTCTACGAAAGCATTGCTTTCACCATGGAGAACCTGCACGAGTCTCTGGGCAGCACCACCACCATCCACGAGGACACCAAGCCCACCCTGATGGCTCGCTGGAGATACCCCTCGCTCTCTCTTCACGGTATCGAGGGTGCTTTCTCTGCCCCTGGCGCCAAGACTGTCATTCCTGCCAAGGTCGTTGGCAAGTTCTCCATCCGAACTGTTCCCGACATGGACATTGACACGACCAACTCCGTTGTCTACAAGTATGTCGAGGAGGAGTTTGCCAAGCTTGGCAGCAAGAACACTCTGAAGGTTTATGCCCAGCACACCGGCAAGTGGTGGGTTGCCTCACCAAAGCACTGGAACTTTTCCGCCGCTGCCAAGGCGGTTGAGCGTGTCTGGGGCGTCGAGCCCGACTTTACTCGTGAGGGTGGAAGGTGAGTCTTCTTTTTTTATATTCCCATGAGCCTCATTTCCTGCCCATCCGACTCCTGTTACCAAATACTAACATCATACTACAGTATCCCTGTGACCCTTACCTTTGAGGAGGCCACAGGCAAGAACGTCCTGCTGCTACCCATGGGAAGCTCAACAGACGGCGCTCACTCCATCAACGAGAAGCTTGACAAACGCAACTACATTGAGGGCATCAAGCTGCTGGGTGCTTACCTGCACTACGTCGCCGAGGAGCCCCAGAAATAATTCGGGACGGGATGAATGACGGAATAAATAAACAAATCAAGATATCAAGATGCATTGGAAGCAAAAGCGTGTACGTTACGAAATCGTAGGACATTGATTCCGGACATGAAGAATCGCAATGATGTGTGAAAACTTGTCGGCTCTCCACACCTTCGTCATACGCAGCGTTATCTCTCTGCGTTTATTTACGTGACATCTTGTTCCAGAGACCCCAAGAGCTAGAAGATGCAGGAACCGATGTTGTCGATAAATGCCTACCCGGAATGAAGCCATTTTTAAGTATGTGCAATTGTCTAGGTGCAATCATGCCAATCGGATTTTCTGTCTGTAAATATTTGTTCCTCACCGCGATTATTAGCAGCCCCAATCTCGTGTTAGTGCCCCTCCCAAGCCTCCCCATCTGTGCGGCCGCGGCTTCCGGCTAGCGGCCCAGTTAGTGGACAATCGCGCATGGATGGATCACTGGCTCGGCTGGGCTTTTGATTGATCGACTGGTAGCAAGTCAGAGACAAGTACCGACGCCGCTAATCACTAGAGGGCATTTGACAGCCCCATGACCCTCGACCGGGCGGGCGGGAGGTTCAAAGAGCTCAAGCAGTACAGTAGACTGTGTGATTTGCGAGATAATACGTGTGTAGATGAATTTATATGGTGCTTCAATACAGCCATGCTGATGATTTGTATGGACTTGTAGTAAAAGCTGGTGGCTGCGGGAGAGATGAATAAAGGCGGATGGACATACAGTGACGTATGATTCCGAAGTTGGCCGGTTGGGTATCATTGAACCTAATCGCTTCGCTAGTACTCCGTACAGAAGAAAAGACGGTTGGGTTGGACAGAATCCCTTGGCCGTGCTAAAAGAGAGCAAGGCCTTGTCTGCGGGGTTAGTTTAGCGGTTGATCAATCACATCAACAGCGGTACTCGTCAGACACTTACACACAGACGGGCAGCAGGTGAGCTCCAACGCGAAGAGAGTTTGGGCGGTGTCGGCGGTTAGTTCGAGCCATCCGTGGAAGCTCTGCAACTACTGCAGCACCTCCCGTCTTCGTCCTCATTCCCTTGTGCCTCTTACTGTTTCTTCCACCAAACATCTCGTCTCTTCCACCTGCTTGGACATCCATTATTGCTTGCTCTATGGCGGGCGGCATCTGGGAGGCCTTCTTTTTCGAAGACGACATTCGGGCCATGGTGCGAGAGAGCGGCATCTCGGCCACCAAGCCGATCTTCCCCAACTATCTCCTGCCGAGCTTCAAGTTTGCATTTCCTGGGCGTCGCCGCCACTCTGCATCGTCGACGTCGTCAACAGGGTCGGAACCGTCCAGTAGCCGTGGCGATGACGCTTCGTCGGCCGTGACCACACCCAACGGCTCTCCCCCGGATGGTGATTTGGGTTTCAACAAGCTGAGAAGCACGGCAGGGCCTCGACGTCTCTCGCGGACGGCGGCAGATACGCTCCGCTGTTCGAGCTGTGCTACGGACATTGCCTTTACGTCTCAAATCGTTTCCAAGGGATTCACGGGTCGCTACGGCCGTGCGTATCTAATCACCCCTCTGCCGGCAGGCTCGTCGCTGTTGAACGTCCGCATTGGCAAGAACGAGAATAGACAGCTGGTCACGGGATGGCATGTGGTGGCGGACATTTGCTGCGGGATATGCTCGCGCAAGCTCGGGTGGAAGTACGTGGATGCCAAGGAAGAATCACAAAAGTACAAGGTGGGCAAGTTTATCCTGGAGACGGAACGGGTGGTGACACAGCGGAGCTGGGAGGACACCACCATTTCCGAGGGCCAGGAGCTCATGTACGAAGCGGAACGAAAAGCAGAAAAGGCGAAAAAAGACGATGACGAGCAAACCGAGATTGAGTTTGACTCGTCGGATGAGGATGAGTGTGAGGCCGTCTTTGCTGGCCTTTGGGATGCGGAAACTGCTGCAAAGCGCAGGAACCGCTTGGCGGCCAGACCAAGACCGGCTCAACAGCAGGGCGAATAATGTCGCTGGGCGTGGAAAATATCATTCATGAGATACCATTGTTGGCGTT